ATGTATAAATGAGAGAAGATTGGGTGTTTTTTTTCTGGCGGGGGGGGGGGGGTGTTCCGGTTCGGGAAAGCAGAATACTGACTTCCCTAGTATGGACTTATTTTTAGATATGTGGAAACTGTTTATAGAAATATGTGTAGATCCACCACCACTGTCATTATATTTTTGTTGTTACTTTATGTATATCTCCCCTCAAATCTTCTTTAGTTGCTGGATTTTAAGTTTCCCCCCTTGTTCTTTCTTTTTTTTAAAGAAAGAAATTAAAAATACAGTACAGTACAGTACAACACAATTCATGCCAGCAGGATCAAGGCAAAAGGGGATGACTTTTTTTGTAACCCCCCCCCCGGCCCGGTCAGGTGTGCTGGGCAAACAGATGGGGAGTGGAAGAACAAAGTTTGAGTCCAGTGGCACCTTTAAGACCAAAAGTTTTATTAAAGATATAAGCTTTTCTGTGCAAACATACTTCTTCAGATACAGCAGTGGTAGTGAGGGGAATGGGCCAAGGTAAAGTGTTTTCAGTATAGATTTGTTGAACATTGAATTAGCCAGGCAAAACAAGAAAAGCTATACTGAAACACAGCTAGTTAAAATTGATTTGAAACACTTTTAATACACATCAACAATGATCACACATCCCAGACTTATGATGGCAAAGAGTCCCAGAGGTCTGAGGTGATTTCCTCCGTGTCTGAGAGACAGTAACAAAGTGGAGGTGCTGATAAAGGGACCCTCAAAAAATCTTCTTGAGCTTCCAGAACAAGGTTTCGACTGAGCAGACTGTCATGACTTGGTCAGATAGGAAGACTTGCATGAGGATGTTTTGCAATACTAACGTTCAGAAGATGAGCATTACTGCTCTGCTTATCTCAAAGCCCGGGACCACTGATGCTTTTATTGTTTGGCAACCGAAGAGAGGCCCAAGGAGTGTGATGCTGGTCTAGATTCCTGGAGTCACTCTAGTGTGTCATCTGACTTAGTGCTAAAGGCAAATCTCCTATTCTCATCTGGGCTTCAGATCTCAGAGAGCATGATCATAAGAACATAAGAAGCGCCAGTGTTGGATCAGGCCAACGGCCCATCCAGTCCAACATTCTGTCACACAGTGGCCAGAAATACCAGGTGCCCTCAGGAGGTCCATCAGTGGGGCCAGGACTCTAGAAGCCCTCCCACTGTCCCCCCTCCCAAGCACCAAGAATACAGAGCACCACTTGCCCCAGACCAACAGTTCCTATCTATAAAGTTTCCCTTGCTTGAAAGCAGTTGAATCTGATTCTAGGGGGTGGTGCTCATATCCATTTCCAAGCTGAAGAGCCAGCGCTGTACGAAGACTTCTCCATGGCATGACTAAACGCTGAGGTGCATGGAACACTGTTACCTTCCTAACGAAGCCGTACCTATTTATCTACTTGCAATTTCTTGCTTTTGAGCTGCTAGGTTGGCAGGAGCTGGGGCCAGAGACAGGAGCGCACGTCATCACGCAGCACTAGGGTCTTGACCTGCTGAGCTACAGACCTTCTGGTCTGCAATTTAGCGTCTTAACCTTTGAGCCACTGCAGCCTGTCCATACCTTGTGGCTAACAGCCACTGATAGACCTCTGTTCCATATGTTTATCCAATTCCCTCTTGAAACCGTCCATGCTTGTAGCCGCCGCCACCTCCTGTGGCAGTGAATTCCATATGTTAATCACTCCCTGGGTGAAGAAGTATTGTGAAGTCTTGTACTGTGAGAAAGGTAGAAAAGTACTTCTTTCTCTACCTGCTCTATCCCATGCATAAACTTGTAAACCTCGATCATGTCACCGATCAGTCGTCGTTTCTCCAAGCTAAAGAGCCCCAAGCGTTTTAACCTTTCTTCATAGGGAAAATGTTCCAACCCTTTTATCGTTCTAGTTGCCCATTTCTGCACTTTTTCCAGTGCTGTAATATCCTTTCTGAGGTGTGGCAACCAGAATTGCACACACTATTCCAAATGAGGATGCACCATCAATTTATACATTATGATACTGGCTGATTTGTTCCTTCCTAATAATAGCATTGGCCTTTTTTATTGCCGCCGCACACTGTCTCGACATTTTCAGTGAGTTATCTACTACAATTCCAAGATCTCTCTCTTGGTCAGTCTCTGCCAGTTTGGGCCCCATCAATGCGTATTTATAGTTAGGATTTTTTTGGCCCCAATGTGTATCTTTGCACTTGGCCACATTGAATCCCATTTGCCACGTTGATGCCCACTCGCCCATCCTCGACAGATCCCTTTGGAGTGCCTCACAATCCTCCCTGGTTCTCACTACCTTGAACAATTTAATGTCATCTGCAAATTTAGCTACTTCCCTGCTTACTTCAAACTCCCAGTCATTACTGAACAAGTTAGAAAGCATCGGACCCAGTACTGAGCCCTGCAGTACCCCACTGCTTACCACCCTCCACTGAGAAAATTGCCCATTTATACTCACTCCCTGTTTCCTATTAATTAGCCAGTTTTTGATCCACCAGAGGACTTGTCCTTTTATCCGATGACTACTGAGCTTACTTAGGAGCCTTTGAGGAGGAACTTTATCAAAAGCTTTCTGGAAGTCAAGGTAAACAACATCTATTGGGTCCCCCTTGTCCACATGTTTGTTCACCCCCTCAAAGAACAGTAACAGGTTAGTGAGAGAAGATCTTCCCAAAACAGAACCCATGCTGAGTCCGCCTTGATAGTTTTTGTTCATCAATGTGCCTACTCATTCTCTCCTTAATAATGGTTTCCACCAACTTACCCGGTATTGACGTCAGACTGACTGGCCTGTAATTTCCCGGCTCTCCTCTGGAATCCTTTTTAAAGGTGGTATGCTCTTTTTAAAGATGCTTCCAGTCCTCAGGAATGGAGGCAGATTTTAAGGAAAGATTAATTATTTTTCTAAGGAGATCCACAAGTTCACATTTGAGTTCTTTCAGAACTCTCAGATGTATGCCATCCGGGCCTGGTGATTTAATCAGTTTTTATGTTGTCTATCAGTTGTAGGACCTCCTCTCTTGTCACCTCAATCTGACTCATAGCCAAGTGTAACATCTAACAGGAAACAGCATATGTTTGAAGTTGCATTCAGCAACATGCTTGGACATAAATATTTGCTGTTTTGCCAGCTGAAGCACCTCCTCCTCCTCCTGGAAGGTAACTGTCATGAGCCTTGCACACTCTACTAGTTGATCTAGGGCTGGGAACAACTTTTTCCCACAGGAAATGTTGATACCCAGCTATGCTGGCCATGTAGTTGGCAGACATGAAGGTCATAGGTTCAAGTGGTGTAGACCCTAACAAAGTCATCCAACTTCCTACCTTCTGTGTTGACAGGGGCAGTGTGGTGACTTGGCAACCTTTGCCCACAGATGCCGCTATGATTAGCAAGTTCAGACTAGGATGGGGACAAAGGAAATCATAACCTTCAGGCTGACTTCTATGTGGGCCTTCAAGCTGCCTTGACCTGGGGCAGGTGGGATGGTTTGATCCACGTTTCAACATCCAGCAGGGCAGGGGAAACAGGATGCTCAACAGGAGCATGGGATGCAGACTGAATGAACCATGACCACAAGCATGAACTGGTCATTATGAGGCGGAGGCTATCTGGTGACCTAGGTTCTGAAGGCTTTCCTCATTTGGACCATTTACTCTAAAACATGTAGAAGTCTTCAGAGGGAGATAATTTTTAGGGATTTGACACCATAAATGTTGGGAGATAAGTCTGGCACCTGTTCAGCTTCCAGGATGCAACAGTTGAGAAGACTCTGAGGATCTTGAAGAGGCTAAGGATGGCTTTTGGTCAGCGGTCAACTCTATTGGTTTGCACACCAAAGAGAAATCTATTTACAACACTATCCTAAGAAAAAAAATTATGAAAAATTGAGAAGTGGCAGAAACCTCAGAAAAGTCTCCAAGCAACCTTGCCCATGGGGCAGACGAGAGGAACCTGAGCAGGATAGCTCAACTCTTCTCTCTTGGCACTTGCACAATCAGAAACTGTGTTTCTTAAGGGGGTATCCTCATACCAAAAAAGGCTCTTTCTAGAATTTTAGAAACCATTACTTTCAGCAGGTGCAACGCCCCTCAGTGTGATGCACAGAGACCACAAATGGGTAATGTGCACAGAATCTTTTTTATGCAGTTCTAAATGCTTGAAAAGAAACACATCTTTTGAGCATCCTGCTTGCAATTTGCAGATGAACTGCAATACAAACAGAGGATTCCTGTCAGAATCTTATTCATTTCCCACGTTCTGTAAAAAACCTGTAGGAAGAGATCCTTAAAATAAGTTGTAGTGAGTAAATTTAAAACCCAAATTATAAACTGGATAAACTAACAAAAAAAATCAGCCCAGTGTACACACTGTCAGTGTAGCTCTAAAGCCAGAACCAGAGAAGGTAAACACTGGAAAGATACTTACTTTATTTGATGCTTATTACCCTTCATGTGAGACTGGTACATTTCTATAGATGTAAGGCTAATGCTACATATGGGACAAATATAGTTGCCAGCTCCAATTGCTAGAAAAATGAAGGACAAACAGGTTAAAAAAGATACAAAGAAAATGACACCTTTCCTCCTCTCCTTCCATCCAAAATGTTGTTTGTTTCAAAATATTAAAAAACATAATGCACATTGAGAAAACGCAAAAATGATAATAACAATATTTTTTTCCTGCTATTTATGTGACACTTTGCGTAAGCATTTTGACACCTAGCCATTTGGTAATTACTTTTTAAATATTCAATTCAATTATTAATTGTACAGCCTTTAAACTATGCTTTAGTTTTTACTACAACTGTCTTCAGGGAAATATTTTACATTTTTAAAATTATTGTCTTTATCGGCTACTGTTTTTATCTGCTATTGTTGCTTGTCTTATTTTACTAATGCTTCCTATTGCTATTTAATTAATCATTGTGATTTTATGCTTTTTATTATTTGTAACACATCTTGACAGCTCATGTACTATGATGGCATAAAGCATTTCTAATAAATAAAACAGCAGCTCAGAGATTAATCAGTTTTGAATTCCTTAAAAGTGTACATGATATTGAGTGCTGAAATTTGCAATCAGCACATTCATGTCAGTTATCTGTTGCTGGAATGACCACTTCAGACTACAACTGGAAGAGTACGTCACTGGAATGCTTATCTGCATAAAATAAAAACACACACTGGAGTGGGAAACTCCAAGGCCCATGGAAGAAACTGGAAATTGTAGAAGAGCTGCGGCCATCATCACTGGACACGTACTTCATGGGGGGAGGACCCCCCCTCTGTAACTGTGGCGTGACCATCCTGGACTTAGGACATTAGTAACGGATTGAGCACTGTGGCTTTAATGTTGAATGGTGTGTTATGTTTTTATATGTTTTTATCTCGGCATGGCTGTTGTCCTGCCCTTGTTAGCCGCCCTGAGCCCACTGGGGAGGGCGGGATATAAATGTGAAAAATAAATAAATAAATATAAATAAAAGAGCAAGTCCAGTAGCACCTTAAAGACTAACAAAATTTACGGCAGAGTATGACTTTTTGTGAGACACAACTCACTTCTTCAGATACAGCTAGAATGTAAGTCCATCTGTCCTTATATCTTTGTGAGTGGAGTGATTGCAGATACCGAATGACAACAGCAGGTAAATGACAATAGCAGGCATGATGGGATGAGGTGTGATATGAGGAGTTATAGTAGGTGTGGAGAAATCAGCATTAGTAACGAGACAGGAAACCTAGGTCTCAATTTAGTCCAGGAGGATGCATTGTCTTGAGCTTCATTATCAGTTGCAGTTCAGCAGTCTCTCTAACCTCCCTTTGAAATTCCTTTGTAAGAGAACTGCTACTCTTAGGTCAGCAGCTGAATGTCCTGGAAGGCTAATGTCAGAGTCCCACAACAAACAGGCTCAACAATGTTCCTTCCAGATCAAGTTTATTGAGTTCAGTGGAAGCAGGTCATCTGTGCATACAGTTTCTGTGTAAAGGCTAACCCTACAGGCAGGAAGGGGGAAGATATACTGCGTTTGAAGCGAGACCCTCTGATGCGAGCAAGGTGCAAGCCTTGCGCACTCAGAGTAACGATTACAAGTCTCCAGGGAGGCGAAAGCACAAAGCTGCAAGGTCAGGCTAGCAGATAAGGCGCAGGGAGAAAATGCAAGTTAACATTCCAAGACAATAAGGTGATCACTGTACCCACTCCCTTCCCCCACCCACCATGGCAGCCTAGCTGACAGCTAAAATATTCCCTCACCCTCACTGGTTTTTTAATGTTGTGGGTTCTAATGTCAGACTTATGTCCATTTATTCTTTGTTACAGGGACTGGCCTGTTTGTCCAAGATTTAAGGACAGATGGACTCATATTCTAGCTGTATCTGAAGAAGTAAGCTGTGACTCACAAAAACTCACACCCTGCCACAAATTTTGTTAGTCTTTAAGGTTCTACTGCATTCTTGCTCTTTGCATCTGCTGAAGACAGACTAACACTGCTATGCATTTTGATCTATCACACACTAGAGTATCAAGGAAAAGTTAGACTGTCCCCATGTGCTTGTTTTATATGTGCAAGGAAGAAGTCAAACATGCAGACTGGTGCAACCATTACCTTCCATGAGTTTGTTGAACATGTATCTGAGCCAAGCTCAGCTGATATAATGTGAGCAAGTAGCTCCAGGCTGCTCACTTACCACTGGTCTTGGATTCCGCAGATAGAGCCTCAGGTCCTATCTCAGCCATCAGTTTCTTACGTGCTTCATTTCGTTTGTGCTTCTTGCCAACATAGTGCTGATGGGCCATGAGTGGATTGTTGAATGAAACTAAACAAAGCTTGCAATACTTCTCTGGATTATCTAAATTGAAAGAAGCACTCGAGGAGATAGATGGGTCTTCAGCATCAGCATCCTGTGAAGTCTTCTCATGACACAACTCTGGAACAGCTGATATTAAAGACAGACCTGAGATAAAACACAAAGAAGAAAGTTAGGAGGAGTTTCTTTGATGTACTTCATCACTGAAGCAGCAGATGAAATAAAAAAATACAGAATGTCAGGCTCAGTATGCATTTTATAGTTCACCTGCCATAGAGGAAGGAGGAGGGGGAGAGGGGTGTGAGAACCAAATGCTTTCATTTTCTTAAAGGCTTTGATGTACCAGACACTGTGTTGCAGAGACAGTGCTTCATTTCTGTAGAGGGGTATGTGCTTAGTGTGTGTGTGTGGGTAGTTGACTGTTATTTCTGGCGAGCAAATGCCGTGGGGTGAATGGGTCCTGATCTTTAGTGCCTTTTCTTGAACACAATATATCTGCAATCTTTGCGCTTTCATCTTCAGTCCTAAGAAAGCTCGTGTTCAGTATGGTATCCATCAACGTCTCAATAAACTAAACTTTCTTAGAAGTAAGTGGTGTTGAGAACTGATTTAACCAGGATTCTGACACAGAATAGCTGAGAATGTAATTCGTGTGGCTCTGCAATCTCATGAAGAGAGACTGAAGTCAGAATACTGTCACTTTACATATTCATCCAACTCCCCTTTGGCTACTATTTTTAATGACCAATCTGAATAGGGTTAAAAGACAAGCCCCAGGTGCAAGGCTGGTTAATAACCCTAATCACTGGTCTATCCAAAAATTAAATGCTGAGGAGCATAAAGGAGCATGAGAAGGAGGAAACTCCACTAGTCTTATTCCTTGACCATCAATGCTGTTTCACTGCCTTGATCCAAAAGAGGGACAACAAACTGAATTGAGGATGTATAAACCACTGCATCTTTACCAGGTTGTGGCTGAGTGCTCGGGGCAGAATGCTGAGCCTGGTCCGTTGAGAGCTGCTTCAACTTCTTGGCATGGATTTTCCCCAGGTAGTGTGACTGAGCAACAACAGGGGATGTGAAGATCATGTTGCAGAGCCTGCAGTATGTGTTTTTGTCCACATTTGGGTCCGTCTGAAACCAAAACACAAAGTTGTTTAATCATGCAGTGGGTGAAGAAGAAGTTGTTTAAGGTAAGAGACAAATGGGAATATTTTGTAAAAAAAAATAGCTATGGCTCCTCTGCTACAGAGGACAGGAGTGTAATCTGGATCTGAAAGACCATTGACGTTCTCCCTCGTCATCATTAACTATGATACAAATTCTAGTGTGGAACCAGCAACATCACCTGGAAATTCACAAACAGCCTCTTCTGCTTTCCAGGTTCTTGTCCTTCCTCTTGTTCACTGTGCATTTGTAAATAAAGTCGAACTTTCTGAGCATGCCTTTTCCCCTGGAAAATACAGGTATGAGCATTATTTCAGGGTGTATTAAGTTTCTGCTTGGCAGCTTATTGTAAGCTTTTCAGTTAATCAAAACTCTTTGCCAGGCTGGATGTCACAATACAATGGACGGGGGGAGCAGGTGTCCCAGGTCATCCTCTCGTCAGCCTCCTGTGTAAGATGAACTGGTCTGCTGAACTCAAAACGAACTTAAAACCATCTTGTCAGCATTCTGTGTAAAGTGAACGTGAAAACTTGTGTCCTCTTTTATTTCTCCCAATAAAAGGATTTGTTTTTGGATATCAGTAACAGTGCAGTCCTAAGACAAGTTACACCCTCCAAAGCTTATTGTAAGCCTACTGGCTTTGAAAGGCATAAGTCTACTCAGAATTGGGGCCTTACACTAAAGCAGATCATTGGTCCATCGAAGTTGGTATTGTCTATTCAGACTGGCAGCGGCTCTCTAGAGTCTCAGCTGGAAGTCTTTCACATCACCTGACCCCTGAACTGAAGATGCTGCCGGGGACTGAATCTGGGGTCTTCTCCATACCAAGCAGATGCTCCACCACTGAGCCATGCCCCCTCCTCACTCCTCTGTTGTGCAGATTCCCACATGTAGCTCCAAACGGGCAATGCTTACTTGAATTCTGATTAGTATTGACCAAAATGCCTTGCCTTACTTTCAGAGGACAATCCCAGCTAATTTAATCTTCCTTGCTGGGAACATGTGATGTACTTGTGCCTGCCCCCTTTCTTATCCTGCTCACTCAGATTATCTATTTGTTTGCACCCGCTGTTGAAACTGGATGCACAGATAGCACATCTACCTGGGGTTTCATTATGGAAGAAAACGTGGGACAGAAATATGAAATACAAATTAAAAAAACAAAGATGTAGAAGACAGAAATGGCAGGTGATTCAGAAAGTACTTCTGAAGAAGCTTCTTGGAAATTAATAGGAGTGGCACAATGGTACAGTAGTCCTTTCCAAGCAAAATTGTGTGAATACTTAACCACACAGCAGAAAATCCATAAAAGGTAAGCAATGTTGGTTAAGGAAAAGCTTTAGGCTTAAACAAAGAGAGCGAAACGTAACAACAAGGAGTTTAATGTTTATTATTTATTTACTTAATTTATATCCCACTTCCCCCCCATGGCGACCTCCATTCTCCCCTTCTCTATTTTATCCTCAGAACAGCCTTGTGAAGCGGGTTAGGCTTAGCGTGCATTACTGTGTCAGACTCTTGGACAAAGTTACTCTCAACAACACTCTCTTGCAGTGATTTGCTTATTGATGAATAAAGATGTTCCAAGCTGAGACTAGTACTGTGTCAGAACTGAAGTTCAGGCAGGAAAATCCCCAATTATAGACAGTTCAAACCAGGTTAGGGTTAGGGTCCAATCATACCCCACAATCGTGCCGCCTAGCTTTTGCATGCTCTACACCGCCCACCTGTGAATATACCGTTAGTTTCTCTAAGACAGTGAAGCAAGCACAGTAATCTCCAAGATCATCCCTGCGTAGGGAGGTATCTTAATAAGAGTTACATCACCACTACAACAGAGCCGTTCACACACTCGCTCACTCACCCCCTCCCTCAGGAATTTCCCTCCCTCTGTGGCCCCAAGTCCCCAAACATGGCAAACAAGAGTCCAAGATTGACATTTGCCCCCCCAAAGCCCTCACCCTCCCAGCTTGAGAGAGTACCACCTATGGAAAGGGCGCACCAGTTTAGATCACATGACTTTCTTCCACCCATTATGACTTGGATCAAAGTCTTTCCATTTAATTAGATAGTATAATTGGTCTCGTTTAATCTTAGAATCTAAAATGTCCTCCACCTCCTGGTGGGGCTCTCCATCCATGATCAGGGGAGGAGGAGCTGCAGGAAGAGGTTTCCATGTTGATGGTCCCGGATCCTTCTTTAGTAGACTAAAATGGAAAACAGGGTGAATGTGACGTAAGTTCTTTGGCAACTCAGCTTCAACAAGTCACTTTATTTATAAGGCGCACCAGTTTAAATGGTCCCATGTATTTCTACCTCAGCTTTTTCCCAGGCTGCAGTCCTTTGAGGTTCTTGGTGGAAATGTACACTGAGTATCCAAGCTTTAATTCCCACTCGGGTCCCCTCCCCTTGTCGGCGTAATGCTTGTAATCCTCTTTCACTTTGGCTAGCATTTGCTGGCGGGCTGACCTCCCTTGTGTCACTTTGGCCCACCATGTCAGGCTCGGTTCCTCCGAGTTCAGGGTCGGGAGTGGTCCTCCCTCATATATATGCACTGCTTTAAAGGGGGACATGCCTATGGAACTATGCACTGAATTGTTATAACTGTTCTCTGCAAAAGGAAGTAAGTCTACCCAGTCATTTTGCTGATGATTTATAACACACCTCAGGAATTGGTCCAGCACTTGATTCATGCGCTAGGTTTGGCCATCCGTCTATGGATAACAGACCCTACTGAGTCCTTGCTCCACCCCCAGCAGTTTCAATAATTCCCTCCAGAACCCTGCCATGAACTGGGACCCCTGGTCCAAGATTATTTTGAAGGGCAAAGCATGAAGACTTATTATGTTTTGCATGAACAACTGAGCCAGTTTTTGAGCAGTCAGCAATTGCTTACATGGAATAAAATGTGCTTGTTTGGAGAACAAGTCAACCACCACCCAAATTACAGTCTAGCAGGATTTCTATGCATTTGTGGTATAAGCCCTAGTGTGTCTTCTTGAGAAAAAATAAATATAAGACAGTGTCTTATTTTCGAGGAAACACGGTACCTTCTTCAAACACTGTGCTAAAATAGCAGCAAAGATTTTTAATCCACATTTAGAAGCGAAATAGGTCTATAGTTTTTCACTTCTTTAAAGTCTGTATTTTCTTTATATATCAAAGAGATAGTATCTTCTTTCCATGATTGTGGTAAATTCCCTTCTTCCTGTATATTTTCCAATACCTTTTTATATGGTATTAGTAAGCTATCTTCAAAAGTGCTATAATACTCCACTGGAAGTCCATCTGGTCCAGGTGCTTTTCCTTTGTTTTGGATTTTATCTACAATTTCTTGTACTGTTATAGGTCCATTTAATTTTACTTTCTGTTCTTCACTCAATTTAATATTATTGTGTTTTGTGTTTCTTAAGGTATCTTGTCTACAGAAATACTCTTTGCCTGGTATAGTTTTTTGTAGACGTTTTCTACTATCATCTTGAGTTCTTCTTGTCCATACTTTTCTGAGCCATTCTCATCTCTCAGCACGTGTATTAAAGATCTTGGTTAAGGAGGGATATTGGACGATACGAATTTGTATGCAATGGGTTTCTGTCAGGTTTGGGGATTACTACTGTGGTTGCTAGATCCCATTAATTGGGTATATTTCCTGTATCTAGGATGTGATTGAACGTTGTTGCCATTTGTTTGGTTAGGAGACATTTAAATTTCTTATAAAATTCCGATGGGAATCCATCTGGACCAGGTGTTTTCCCATTTTAAGTGTTCTGATAGTGTCTGATATTTCTTGCTCCGTTATGGGAGCCTCCATGAAGTTTTTGCCAATAACAGACAGTTTCTTGTGTACTGGGAATTTTTTGGCTTCTGTTTTGAAAGTGATTGGGTCTGTTGGGATTTGAGAGTACAATTCAGAATAATATTCATGGAACCTTTGTAGTATTTTGTCTGTTTGGTTTTCTACCTCCCCTTGTTTGGTTATGATCGCAGAAATTTGTCTGTTATTGGTTTGCTCTTTTACTTTGTGTGCAAGTAGTTTTAGGCTACGTGGGGATTTAACCCAGTATTTCTGCTTAGTAAAGAGCAACTGTTTTTTAATTATAGAGGTGTCCCATAGTTCTAGTTTTTTCCTTTCTGACTCTAATTTTTTACGAATACTTGGTGATCCTGTTTTTTTGTGTTGTTGGTCAAGAAGTGTGATATTTTTTATGGTGTCAGATTTTAATTTATCTTTTTGCTTTTTCAGATATGAGGCTTTCGAAATAATCGAGCCCCGGATCACTGGCTTCAAGGCGTCCCAGATTATACAGGGAGAAGTCTCCTGTGTGGCATTATTCAGCAAATAGTTCTTAATTTCTTCCTCCAGGTGTTCTGTGAACAGTTGATTGTCCAATAAAGATACATTCAGGGACCATTGTTTATTTGTCTTTCTTTCTTCATGAGTAATGAGTGTGCATGTGAGGAAGTCATGGTCCGACCACCTGTGGGGTTCTACGCTTGTGCTTTCTACTTGTTGGATAAGGGATGGAGATAGTAAAATAAGATCTATTCTAGAGTGAACTGTATGTCTTGCAGAAAAGTAAGTGTAATCATGTACTCCGGGGTGTTTCAATCTCCAGATATCTGTAAGGTTGTTTGTTTTCAGTAAGTTATCTAGTTTAGTGAGTCTGTTTTTAGGAGTGTTGTGGAGAGGAGGGTGATGTGATTTGTCAAGAAGATTATCCACAATACAATTGAAGTCTCCTCCTAACACAATATCTCCTTCAGCAAATTCCTTAAGGAGAGTGAGAGTGGATTCAATGAATTTTAGCTGACCTTCGTTGGGAGCATAAATTGTGGCGATGGTCAATTTTTTATTATCTAGATTGCCTTTCATGAAGAGATATCTACCATTTGGGTCAGTTAAAGTTTGGTCCAATGTATACTGTATGTTGCGGGAGTTTGAACTGCCTGGGGCTAGGAGTTGAGTGGGGAATCTGGGGGTTTTGAAGACCAAATGTTCAGTCTTTTTTAAATGGGTCTCCTGTAAGAGGATGACGTCAGGATTCTGTTTCATCAAATCTGTGAGGACTCTACGCTTTTTGATAGGATGGTTCAGAGTTTGCCTCGAAAGGTGAATTGTAAAATGAGCGGAGTAAGCCAAGTATATTTAAGATCTGCTTCACGTAAGCTGTTAGTGATCTGTTTCATCTCTCTGCGTTTTTGGAGAGCTTCGCGGGGAAGGTCTGGGTAAACTTCGACTTTCTGATTGAGATAGTCCAGGTGGCCATTCCTCCTTGCATGCGATAA